AAAACCTAATGCCATTGCCAATCTGACAGGAGACAGGGCTCAGGAAGTAATATGAGTGATGGGGAGTGGCTGTAAATATAGACGAAGCTTCACTGCCTCACCTGCCACCCACCTCTTGCTGTGTGGCCTGGTTCCTAAGAGCCCACTATTGCTACCAGTCCATGGTCTGGGGATTGGGAATCCCTGACTTAAGGAGCTGAGACTGTAGCCATTAATCATTCTGATTACAGGGCTAAGGGCATATCTCAGTAGTAGAGAAATTACCTAGCATGTCCAAGATTCTGGGTTCCATCCCCAGTATGGCAAAAAATATGTATTTTTTTAAAATTACGGTAACCATAGGAAATGCTCCCAACCCAATCATATGTGTTTTGGTAACAGAGGTTTGCAACTCCCAACACAGGGAGAGGAGGCACCCTAAGGAGGCAGCAGCCACTGGTTGCTTGGAGTGGAAGCTTCCAAGCATCCTCAGGAGTGACCACAATAGCTGCTAGGAGGGTAGATAAGACATACGCGTCACCATCCACTGGGACTTGGGGGACCTCAAGACAATGGAGTGCCAGTTTGTGGAAGCCCTGCTTTACCCCCACAATCCTTACATGCAGGGGTGAACCTATACTCCTGTGCAGTGGTTTAGCCTTCCTCATGCCTAGGTGAGAGCTTGGCCTCCTTGCATTTAGCCACTCTGGGCCTGCAGTCCTTTGCTGTTCCTCTCTTCCCTCCACACAGGCTCTGCTCAGAAAGAGCCCAGACACCATGGCACATGTGGTGGTTCCCACAGACAGGACCTTCTGCTGTGGGTCCCTGGTTACTCTATCCTGATGTCTGAGTTACTTATGCAAGAACATTTGGGAAAAACAAGACCACTTTCCAGTTTGTAACAAACTAGTAAATCGCCACTCCACGAGAATACTCCACTTTCAGGATGAAGCTGGAGGAGGATGAGCTGACCAAGGGACACTAGGGACCTCCTGGCATGCGGGAAACTGAGCCATCAGTGTGATCACATTGATGAGGAAAGAGAGAGCCAAGACGGCACCTGGGAAATGAGTTGCCATAATACCTCCCACCCAGGCACAACCTGCACCACACCTCCACCCCTAGAGCTAAGAACACACAGCCCCACAACACCTTGAGGGACACGACCATTGCTGGACTGGCTCTCCCTAAAAGGTATCTTGATGCCACCTTAGAGCCTGTCTGAGCTTCTGCTCAACACCCCCTCCAGAGATTAACCACTGTGTGAGGGTGGCAGCTCACCTACACCTGCTCCACACCACCTCCCCTTATGCTCTGGGGGCATGGTAAGAGGCCCTCTGTCAGGAGGCCCCGGAACACACCTAACACAATGCCTTCCCACAGAGACCTCTATGTCTGACCTATTTTTATTACAGTTGTCATCACTCTAACAGGCATCAATGTCGTGGCAATCCTGATGTGGCTGAAGACAATGTGCCATCAAGCCATGGTCAGAGCAGTCCTGGTGATACCCACAAAGAAAAAGTACTAGCACAACGTGTTAAATAGACCAAAGGGAGGGAAGAGCAGGAGGGAAAACTCAAACCCAATGCCAGTCCTTTGGAAAAAATCAACAGAACTCATAAACTTCTAGCAAGAGACACAAAAAGAAACAAAAAGACTAGACAGCAACATCAGAAAGGAAAGAGTTGTCACTGCAGACCCTGCATACATGCAAAGACACAGGAACTCTATAAATTCAACAACCAGATCAAATGGATCAATTCCTCAAAGTCAACTACCAAAACCAACCCAAGGCAAAACAATCTAGAATACAACTATAACCTTACTGTTAAAGAAGTTTAAAATCAGGCCAGGGATATAGCTCAGCAGCACAGCACCTACCTGACAAGCACAAGGTCATGAGCTCAATTCCCAGTACCAAAAAGAAAAAAAGAAGTTTAAAACCATCTAAAAATGAACTCTCCAGATAGTCACACTGGTGCGTTCCAAACGTTTAAGAAATAACACTAATTTGGCAAAATCCCTTCCAGAAAATAAAAAGAGTAAGGACCATTTCCTCATTCATTCCATAAGGCTCATCACTGACATCAAAGCAAACAAGAATGTTCAAGAAAACTACAGACCAATATCTTCCATAAGCATAGAAAAACATTATCAAAAAGTATTAGCAAACTTAATCTATGGTAGAAACACATACGAAGAATAATGTCCTACAACCAGAAACCTGAGGCAGGTTTAGCATTCAAACAGTAACACTAGAGCTGGGTGTGAGGCTCAGTGGTAGAGCACTTGAAGCATGCACACAGCACTGGGCTCAAGCCCCAACACTGCAGAAAGGAAAATTAACCACACTGACAGACTGAAAAATAAAGAAAATTAACCACACTGACAGACTGAAGAAAAGCAGCATTTGATTCCATCAGCTGATGCGGAAAAAGCATCTGACAAGATTCAACATCCACTCACAGTAAAAACTCAGCAAATTAGGAGTAGAAAGGGAAATTCTCAACTTTACTGATAGAGTACAGGTCCCAGAAACCCACAGTTAACATTCCACTCAATGGAAGAGGCTGAATGCTGCCAAGACGGGAAACATGAGTGAAATGTCTCTTGTAAAGCAAAAAAGAGAAACAAAATAAAAATAAAACAGTCTGTATTTAGGGTTGTCTACATTGCACATCCCAAGGAGTCTATAAGAAACTCTTAGAACTAACAAATAAGTTTAACAAGGTTATAGAAACAACCCAGCACACAGAAATCAACCACATGGGACTGGGGATATAGCTCAGTGATGAAGCACTTCCATAGCCTGTGCTAGACCCTGGGTTTCATTTCCTGGACAGAAAAAAAGAAGAAAAAAGAAAAAAAGAGAGGGAGAAGGAGGAAAGGAAGCAGGAAGGAAGGAAGGAAGAAAAGAAGGAAAGTAGGGGGAGGGGGGAGGGAGGGAGGCAAGAAATAGCTCCAAAGAGACTGCAGGTATACATATAAAAAACATATAAGAGCTACAAAACTACAACACACAGATGGATATGTTGAAGAAGCCTAAATGAATGGAATATTGTGTTCACAGACTGTAAGATTCAGCATAATCACATTGTTAAATCACTCGAAATTTAAAAGGATGAGGGCCCAGGACCTGGCAAGCGCAAGGTCCAGGCAAGCTACAAGGTCCAGGCAAGCACAAGGTCCTGAGTTCAATTTCTAGTACCAAATAAATAAATAAATAAATGAAAAAGATTTGTTCGGAGGGAGGGAGGGAGGGAGGGAGGGAGAGAGGGAGGATCTGTAATCGAGGTTGGCCTTGAACTCACTCTGGAGCTCAGGGTGGCCTCAAACTCATAGTGATCTTCCTGCCCAACTTGTCAAGAGATCTTACGCAATTCTATTAAAAGGGAGATTTTAGCCAGGCATGGTGGCACACATCTGTAATCCCAGCACTCTGGAGGCTGAGGCAAGAGGATCCTTGCAAGTTCCAGACCAGCCTGGGCTACAAAGTGAGCTCAAGGCCAGCCTGAAATGCATAGCAAGGCCCTGTCTCAAAAAGACAAAAAAAAAAAAAAATTTTTTTTTTAAAAAGGGAGATTTTTTTTTTTTTCCCGGTACCAGGAATCGAACTCACGACGTTGTGCTTGCCAGGCAGGCGCTGTGCCACAGAACTAGATCGCCAGCCCCAAGAGATTTTTGTACATATATACAAACTCACCCTAAAATCAAAGGAAAAGGGAAAGTGACTACAAAAGCTAGAATTCTAAAGAGGACCAACCAAATTGGAGGACTCACAATAGCTGATTTCAAGACAATATAAAACTTAACAGTAAACAAGACAGTGCAGTAGTGACAACAGAAATGGCACAGAACAGTAGGTCAAAGAGTCTCACCCAATGCGCCCCTGTGCTCTCTGCCAAAGGAGCAAAGGCAATTAAAACCTGGCTTTCAACAAATGACACTGAACATTGGCATCCACACGCACAGGACAAACCTCAGCTACACATCACACTTTCTAGGACACCAACTCAACACAGGCCATAACTCAACAGGAGGGATTTCGGGAGTAACTCATTGACAGAGCATGTGCTGAGCATGCCCGAGGCCCAAGGCCCAATACCCTGCACCAAAAAAAATTTTTTTTTTTTTTTTTGGTTTTTCTCCGGTACCAGGAACCGAACTCACGACCTTGCGCTTGCCAGGCAGGCGCTTTTTGCCGCTGAGCTAAATCCCCAGCCCCTGCACCAAAAATTTTAAAACGACCAAATAAAAACAAATGTAAAGGGGGCTGGGGATTTAGCTCAGCGGCACAGCGCCTGCCTGGCAAGCTCCAGGTCATGAGTTCGATCCGTACCGGAAAAAAAAAACAAAAAAACGAACAAACAAAAAAATGTAAAACAGAAACAATAAACTTTTAGAAGACAAATGTGGTAAGCGAAGATTAGACAAAGAAGTCTTAGATATGACAACAAATATAAGACCTGGAAAGAAAAGAATGAATAAACTGGAGTGCATCAAAATGAGTTAACTTCGGGCCGGGGACATAGCTCAGCAGCATAAGCGCCTGCTTGGCAAGCGGAAGGTCCTGAGTTCGATTCCCAGTACCAAAAAAAAAAAAAAAAAAAAGAGTAACTTCTACTCTGCGAATCACGTACACCATGCAACCTTGTGAAAGTAGAATACATAAAATACCCTCAGCACAAAACAGTAAGGAAGCTCAGGTGACAGGGCAAGGAGGATTCGGGACGGGCTCACGCCTGGGAGGCAATGACAGCGAGAAACCCAGGCGACACCAAGCACGGCAGGGCGGGACAGGCGAGGTGACCTCCAGCCAAACGCGCCAGAGGGCTAGGGGACTGGAGGACCAGGCGGGACCCGGGGTCCGGGGCACTGTGGGGACCCAGAAGGGCCCGGAGGGACAGGAACTGGGGGGCCGAGAGGGGACCGGGGAACCAAGCGGGACCAGAGTACGGCGCGAGGGGCCGCGGGGGTCAGGGGCCCGCGCCCGCGCCCGCGCCCGCGCGCCGACCTACCGTCCAGCGACACGAACTGGCCCACGGCGGACGAGCCGCCGCCGCTGTTCTCCACGAACTGCACCTCTGACACGATGATGTTGTCCTCCAGCACCGAGCCGCAGGCCGTGCACACAGCGTCGCCGCGCGCCGCGTCCAGCTCGATGTCGGTGCCGCCGCAGGCGCGGCACACGCGGCCCGTCATGGTGGGGCCTCAGCGGGCGCACTCCCCCG